CTACCGCTGCCGCCTCTGCCTCAGCCTGGCGGCCCTGCTGCTCCTCGCCCTGCTCCTCACCTTCATCTACGCCACCCCGGTGAGAGCTGGGGGGACAGACACCCCCAAAACGTCCCCCCTGTCCCCTCGGGTTTTGTCCCCTCCTTTCGAGCTCTCTCCCTCCACGCAGGGTTACTTGGCCATGAGGCTGGTGGATCCTCTGCAGAGCTTGCGCTTCACTGGGGGCCAACACGGAAGCAAGCCCTGAGCTGGGGGGTGACACCCCCCCCCAGGGCAGCTCCCAGCCTCCCAGAACACATGGGGTGTCACCCCCCTCCCCGTGTCACCTCTTTAATAAAGTCACAGTCGGTCAAAATCAAAGCGTTGTCCCCAGAGCCAGCAGGGATGGAAGGGCTGGTGCCCCCAACACAAGGACATGGAGCTCCTGGAGAGTCCAGAGGAGCCAGGGAGATGATGGAGCAGCTCTGTTCTGGAGCCAGGCTGGGAGAGTTGGGGTGTTCAGCCTGGAGAAGAGAAGGCTCCAGGGAGACCTTAGAGCAGCTTCCAGTGCCTGAAGGGGCTCCAGGAAAGCTGGGGAGGGACTTGGGACAAGGGCAGGGAGGGAGAGGACAAGGGGGGATGGATGAAAAGTGGCAGAGGGAGATTGAGGTGAGACATGAGGAGGGAATTGTGGAGTGTGAGGGTGGTGAGAGCCTGGCCCAGGTTGCCCAGGGAAGCTGTGGCTGCCCCATCCCTGGGGGTGTTGAAGGGCAGGTTGGATGGGGCTTGGAGCAGCCTGGGCTGGTGGGAGGTGTCCCTGCCCACGCAGGGGGGTTCAATCTAGATGATCTTTCAGGTCCCTTCCAACCTAAACCACTCTAGGATACTCAGATTCCATTTTGGGGGCACCAGGGAGGGTCCCTGACTCTCTGTGGCAGCAGCTTGGGGAGGAAAAGCTGCACCCAGGGGACCTGGTGGTGACAAAACCCACGGCCATGTCACACACACACCCCATGTTTATTCTGTGACACCAGTGACAGCTGCAGGGGGGGCACGTTTTCCCCCCCCCCCCGAGTATCAGGCAAGAAAAAAATGAAAGAGGCAAAACACCAGAAAAAGTCACTCTTGGGCACTTGGAACACAAGCTCCCACCTGCCCTGATGACACCATCCTGCCAAGAAAATGGGCATATCCCCACGTGCCCCCCAGGTACCACCAGGACCCCCAACAGGGACCTGTCCCCAGTGTCCTGGGCAGGTGGGGGTGAGGACACTTCCCCCCAGGCCAAGGATGGGGCTGGTTCATTCGCCACCTCCACGTCCCCAGAGCCACCCAGACTCCCCGTGGGACAACCTGACCTAAAAGCTCCTTCTCCCAGGTCCTTCTGATGACTCTCTTTGTCCCCAGGGGATGAGATGAGAAAAACCCAAGTGAGATCCTTGACCAAAGCCATTGAGGTAGGAAGAAACAGGGACTCCCTGAAAAGGCAGCGAGAGCTTCGGCTCCGGGAGGCGCGGGAACTGCTCGGAGCCCCCGGGATGTGCTGAGGGAGAAGCTGCTGGAAGCCAGGCCAGGCCATGCAAGGGACACTGAGGGGACAGAGGGGACGTGCAGGGGTGGGCTGGGGGGAGGGGAAGGGGCTGAGCACCCCTCCCCCCCGAGGCAGCTGGATATGGGTCTGGGAAATGGGGATCCCAGCGTGGGTCCCCAGCGAGGGGCTGGGGAAAGGGGCGGACCCAGGGGTGGGAGCTCAGAGCTGGGGGGGCCTGTCCCCCAACACCAGCATGGTGACAAGGAGGGACACCCCCTGCTCTGACCTTGGTGACAAGAGACATCCCCTGCCCCAAACCACCAAACCTTGGTGACAAGCAGGGACATCCCTTGTCCCAATCCAACCTTGGTGACAAGTAGGGACATCCCCCAGCCCCAAACCACCAAACCTTGGTGACAAGGGACATCCCCTGCCCCAAAACACCTAAGCCCAGAGACAAACCCTCCCCTGAAACTCCAAACCTTGGTGACAAGCAGGGACACCCCTTGTCCCAGTCCAACCTTGGTGACCAAAAGGGACATCAGTTGTCCCAAACCTTGGTGAAAAGCAGGGACAGCTCCTGCCCCAAAACTTGGTGACAAGCAGGGACAGCCCCTGCCCCAAAACAAACTCTGGTGACAAGAAGGGACATCCCCTTCCCCAAAACACCAAAGCCTGGAGACAAACCCTGCCCTGAAACTCCAAACCTTGGTGACAAGTAGGCACATCCCTTGTCCCAGTCCAACACTGCTGACAAGCAGGGACACCCTCTGCCCCAAAACACCAAGCCTTGGTGACATCTCCTGCCCCAAAACAATCCTTGATGAGCAGGGACATCCCCTGCCCCCAAGCCCCAACTCTTGACCATGAGAGGACCAGAGAGGAGCTGCAGAGTTGAGGAGAAATTCCAAGTCCCAAGAACCTCAGTTGTCTCCAGAGATGGAAGCAGCTAGAGCAGGTTGACCAGTCTGGAAAATCCCTCCTGGAAAGGAAACTGAGACCAGGTCTTGTGAGGGTGACACCACAGGGGTGGTGGTGGTGGCAGTTTGGTGTCCTGACTCAGGTGGGATTTCACTGCCAGGTGGTGACTTCTGACCATGTTGGGGCTCCGTGTCTGACACAGAAGCAGGTCCCTGTGCCACAGCCTGTCCTCCAGAACCATTCCCAACCAAAGGTCCTTCAGGAAAGGCTCCATCCCCGTGGTGCTTGGCTCCCAACCCATGGCCCACCAAGCTGGGGAGCACTGGTGAGCAGCAGCAGCCATTCCCACCAGGGTTTTCGGGGTGACACGAGGGTCCCTGCCAGGAAGGTGGGTCCATCAAGGCTCTGGCCAGTCTGGGATGGGTGGGACTGGGGCTGTGGCTGGCAAGGACTGGCCACGGGCCACCCCAGGAGGAGGTTCCTAATCAATAGAAGTGTTTTCTGCTCTGCTCCTGCCACTTGTTGTAGATGATGACCCCGATGACGATGGCGAAGACAATGGCCACCAGGGAGAAGAAGACAATGAGGAAGAGGGCCAGGCCACTCATGGGCTCCAGAGGGGCTTCCACTGTGGGACAGGAGAACAACAACAAGTTGTGAGCCCCCTTAAAGGGTCCAGATGCCCCAAAAAGCCACCCGAGGTTTGGCTGTGCTGGGGGGTGTCACCACCCCAAGCATCAGCCCTAGGTTTGGCTGCCCAGCTCCTCCCCAGGGCTGCAGCTCCCTCAGGGTCCACAGCCAGGGGCTCCTGGATGTGCCTGCAGTGGGATTTCTGCAGGGGAGGTGACACTGCTGAGGTTCAAACCTCCCTGAGCTGCCAGCAAAGCCCATGGTGGGCTTGGAGCAACCTGGGCTGGTGGGAGGTGACCCTGCCCACGCCGGGGGGTTGCATCTAGATGGTCTTTAAGGTCCCTTCCAACCCAAACCAGTCTGGAATTCTGTGATTCTGGGCACAGCATGACAGGCTGTGACACTGGCTGTATCCCCAGAGGGTGAGGAACACCCATTGGGATGAGGAATGGGACAAGAAGGACCAAGTTCAGTTGGAGCTTGGCTGGTTAAATGCTGTGGCTTCCACAGCTCCACCATCCTGCAGGTCCTCCACAAATCCCACCATCCCCTGCTGGCTCCTACTTACTTCCAGGCAGCTTCAGGTTGTCCACCACGGGCAGGTAGACCTCTTTGTCCCTCTTCTCCTCCTCTGGTGTCCTCTCCACTGTCAGCTGGTAAAGCTTCAGGGAAATAATGTCATGGTTGTCTGGAAACATCAGCAGAAACATCTCCTGAGGTTGCAGGGATCATTGAAGCTCTAGCCAAGGATTGGAGTGTAAATTTGGAAGGCAAAAAGCTTTGGATCTCCCTTCTCAAGGAGGGAAAACTCATCTCAGGAGGGTCTACACCAAGTTGTGGCCCAGAGCAGGGCCAAGGGGGAACATTTAAGCTACTTCAAAGTGAGAACCAACAGCCCAGAGCAGGAGATCATCTGACTGGAAACCACTGGGAAGACGTGAGCAAGGACCTCACGTGGCCCTGCTTCCCTGGCTCTTGGTGCTGCAGTGATTAGTGGTGGAAGGAGAAGGCTCCAGGCCAACCCACCAGCTCCCCCAGGCTCAGATCTGAGAAACAAAAGGACCTTTTGTTGGAGCCAACAATGGGTGCAGCCACCAAGGAGCTTTTTGTGGTGGCAAAACTCCAAATGGGCTTAAAACCTTCAGGAAAGGGGTTCAGGGGGTGAGGTCAGGTCTGGGAGGCAACCAGGAGAGGAGCTTTGTGCTGAGGAAGGAGAACTTCAGCTCTCTGCAAAGCCCAAGTTCACACCAGCCCAATGTCCAAGTGTCCCTCCCACTCTGAGGGGCTGGTGGCACCTCCTGGGGGGTGAAATCCAAAGGGAAAACCAGCCAGTGAAAGAGCTGGAGCAGGAGGCCTGGCTGGGACACCTGGGGATCAGCCAAGCACCAGGCTTCAGGGAGTCATGGAATGGGTTGGGTGGGAAGGGACCTTCAAGATCACCTAGATCCAATCGCCTGCATGGGCAGGGACACCTCCCACCAGCCCAGGCTGCTCCAAGCCCCATCCAACCTGCCCTTCAACACCCCCAGGGATGGGGCAGCCACAGCTTCCCTGCCCAACCTGGGCCAGGCTCTCACCACCCTCACAACAAAGAATTCCCTCCTCATCTCCAACCTCCAGCTCCCTCTCCCACTTTTCATCCATCCCCCTCATCCCATCCCTCCCTGCCCTTGTCCCAAGTCCCTCCCCAGCTTTCCTGGAGCCCCTTCAGGCACTGGAAGCTGCTCTAAGGTCTCCCTGGAGCCTTCTCTTCTCCAGGCTCAACATCCCAACTCTCCCAGCCTGGCTCCAGAGCAGAGCTGCTCCAGCTCTCCCATCAGCTCCTCTGGCCTCTCTCCAGAAGCTCCATGTCCTTCTGCTGTTTGGGGCTCCAGAACTGGCCCCAGCCCTGCAGGGGAGTCTCACCAGAGGGGACAATCCCCTCCCTTGACCTTCTGGCCACACAGCCCAGGACACAGTTGGTTTGCTGGCTCCTGCTGAGCATGGCTTGAGGCAGGAGAAGGTTTTCCAGTGCTCATCATGATTTTGCTCCTTCCAAGGTTTGGTTTGGAGCCAGAACCTCCAGCTTTACTGGTAAGAGAAGGTGCCTGAGGTTGGGGCACCACAAGGAGCTCAAAAAAAGTAGAAGAGCTCCTTGAACCAGTAGAAAAAAGTAGAAGAGCCTGAACCAAACACCCAGAGGAGCTTTGGGTTCTTCAGGAGCTGCTGCAAGATATAAACCAAGTCCTCTGCTCCCGGCTCAAGGGTGTTTAAGGCATGACAAGGTCCTGACCTGCTTCTCTCAGCCTCAAGTTACAGCTCCAGCCACCCAAAGCTGCAGTGGGAGATGCCAGAATGGTTTGAGGAACACAGCTGGGGACCCTGGGGTGGTACCTGAGAGGTCTCCAGTGACAGAAGAAGTTCCAAAGTAGTAGCCGCGGGGCAGGCGGACGCCGGGCACGTCGATGCAGTCCCTCCACTCGTGCTTCCCATCAATGTCTATCAACACCTGAGGAGAAAGGGTGACAAGAGTCACAGAAGGAGCCACAAAAGGAGTCACAGGGTGGTTGGAAGGGACCTCTGGAGATCATCCATCCAACCCCCCTGCCAGAGCAGGGTCACCTCCAGCAGGTCCCACAGGAACACCTCCAGCTGGGGTTGGGATGTCTCCAGAGAAGGAGCCTCCACAGCCTCTCTGGGCAGCCTGGCCCAGGGCTCTGCCACCCTCATGGTCAAGAAGCTTCTCCTTGTTTTTCCTTGACAAGGGCAGGGAGGGATGAGATGAGGGGGATGGATAAAAACTGGGAGAGGGAGATGGAGGTTGGAGGGGGAAATTCTTTGTTGTGAGGGTGGTGAGAGCCTGGCCCAGGTTGGGCAGGGAAGCTGTGGCTGCCCCATCCCTGGGGCGGTTGGCAGATTGGATGGGGCTTGGAGCAACCTGGGCTGGTGGGAGGTGTCCCTGCCCATGCAGGGGGTTGGGTCTAGATGGTCTTGAAGGTCCCTCCACCCCAACCCGTTCCACGATTCTTACATCCAGCTGAAACTCCACATTCCACCTTGCCCCCCACTGCCCCTTGCCCTGTCACGGGGCACCACCCAAGGCTCTGGCAGCAGCAGCAGGTCCCCCAACCCCCTGCAGTGTCCCCAGGGGGGACAGTTCTCACCGTCAGCCTCCTCTTGACGTAGCGGATGACCAGGAAGGTGTCATGGGGCAGGTTCCGCACCATGGCCGTGCAGCCCCCCAGCTCCGTGGGCCTCCCGTCCCTGTCGTGGTCGTAGGTGAGGGAACCATTGTTCACCATGGCTGAGATGTAGGGGAAGACCCTCTGTAGTGGAGGGACAAGGTTGGAGGTGAGTTCCTCAGGTCAAGAACCTCCCCCCTCAGAGCCAAACATCCTCCTCCCCAGCCCAAGGATCCATCTCGGCGCGATCCCGCGTTACCCCTCAGGCCCCAAGAGAGGGGGTGTCCATGCAGTGTCCCAGGTCACACAGGGATTCCTGGAAGTGGGAGGAGGGAATTCCTCACTTGTGAGCCAAAGTGAGACCCAAGGTTAGGTGAGCAAGAAGGGAGTACCTGGTTTCCTGGGCTGTACCTCCTCTTCTGAGCCTGCCAGTCCAGGGTTATGGCAAAGCAAGAGAGAAGCACAGAAGCAAGATGGTCACAGACCAGAGTTTGGGATTGCCCTGCAACCTAGGAACTTCCCTCCTGGGAGAGCTCAGGATGTTGGCACCTCAAGGAAGGCTGAAGCACTTGGGCGGGGTTTAGGTGTGAGGTGACAAATTCTGGGACACAGAGTAAGGAAATGATGCCGGGGGGATGAAAGCCCATCAAGCATCATCACATCCAGCACTTCTTGTTACACAAAAAAACCCCAGCACCCAAACAGGGACACACTGGCCACCACCACTCCCCAGGGACCTACAACTGACCCCTTCCTCTTCCTCTGGGGACAAGAAGCTCCTTTTTGTCCTTGTAAAGGTGAAAAAAAGCAGCCATGGACCCACACGCTTCTATGGACCATCAACATCTCTCCATCCCTTCCTCGGTCGTCACCACATCCAATATTTCTTGTCACACATTAAAAAAAAGCCCCCAAACAGGGACACACTGGCCACTGCCACTCCCCAGGGACCCATAATTGAACCTTCTCTCCTTCCTTGGGGACAAGAAGCTCCTTTTTGTCCTTGTAAAGGTGAGAAAAAGGAACCATGGACCCACACGCCTCTATGGACCATCAACATCTCTCCATCTCTTCCCTTCCTCAGCACTTGACTCAAGAAGAGCAGCCCCAAGAAGCCACAAACCCACTTCCCACTCCTCCTGTCTTCTCCATCAAGACTCGTTGGACATCCCTTTACCCTAGAAAAGCAGAGCTGCCACCCTGCAGATCATCAAGGGGATCCACCCAAGCCTACAACCACCCCGGGTGCTGCCAGGAACGCAGCGCCGGGCGGGTCGGAAAGGTTGGTCTTTATTTCTGAGCACAAAGTCCATCCCTGCTTTGGGTGTTTGAACCCAAACTTCATGTCTCCTCAGAAGCTCCAAGGTCATCACAACAGAGCCCTTTTGTCTCCCTCTCTGGGATGAAAGGGGATCCTGTAAGATGGGGAGTTGGGGGGGGTTAATGTTGAGGTCTTGGGGTAAAACGGCGCCTGTTTTTTTGAGGGGACGTTGGAGGGTTTTTGAGGGTCCAATTTGGGGGGGTTTTTTGGGGTGATGAAACCAATTCCAACAGGAGGGTGGGAAGGGCCTGGCTTTAATTACCTCTGCACTCCCTTCTCCAGGGGAACAGCCACCAATAAAACCCCAAACAAACAAGATCAGAGATGATGAGGCAGGAACACAAAGGTCTTTCAGAAGCACGTCGGGAGGGGGAGAACTTCCCGCCCAGCAAGACCAGCCCTGCTCCAGTTCCACACCCACCACATTCCTGGTCCAGCTCCAGCTCCACTTCTCCCCCATGCCAACCTCCAGAGAGATGAGGAGCTCTCAGGCATCACCAGTTTATCTTCCTGCCCCCAAAAATGCTTGTGTTGATGCCCTCAAAACTCCCCCGGGGCTTTTCACTCCTTCCAAGGACAGAGAACAAACCCAACGACAGAGACAAAAGTAGGGAAGGAAGCAAAGAAATGGCTGGGGAGCTCCAAAAAGAGATGAAACCAGGTTGGTGGAGAGATCTGAGCTCAGTGCTGGAGCATGATCCAGGTTCTCCTTCCCACCTCACCTCCTGCTGCTTCTCCTCGTTGGGATATGTGTCCACAAACACCCCCAGGCCCAGGAAGTTATCCTTGCTTCCAAAGACAGGTCCTAGAAGGAAGGAGAAGCTTTGAAGAAGGGAGAAGAAGGGCAGGCAGGTGTCCTGAAGGGCTGTTCTCTCTAGCAGGTGAGGAGGCAGGTGATCCCCAGAGGGAATCTCCAGATCTCTCCTCCAATGTGTCAAAATCCACAGATAAATTGAGCTGGAGGGGGTGGGCACCACGTGGCAGGAGAACACAAGACCTTGTCCCCTCCAGTGCTCAAGGACCAGTGAAGTGTCATAGAATCATGGGAAGGGTTGGGTGGGAAGGGACCTGAAACATCACCCAGTCCCAAGCCCCTGCATGGGCAGGGACACCTCCCACCAGCCCAGGCTGCTCCAAGCCCCATCCAACCTGCCCTTCAACACCCCCAGGGATGGGGCAGCCACAGCTTCCCTGCCCAACCTGGGCCAGGCTCTCACCACCCTCACAACAAAGAATTCCCTCCTCATCTCCAACCTCCAGCTCCCTCTCCCACTTTTCATCCATCCCCCTCATCCCATCCCTCCCTGCCCTTGTCCCAAGTCCCTCCCCAGCTTTCCTGGAGCCCCTTCAGGCACTGGAAGCTGCTCTAAGGTCTCCCTGGAGCCTTCTCTCCTCCAGGCTGAACACCCCAACTCTCCCAGCCTGGCTCCAGAGCAGAGCTGCTCCAGCCCTCCCATCAGCTCCTCTGGACTCTCTCCAGGAGCTCCACATCCTTCTGCTTATTGGAGACCCCAAAACTGCACCCAGCCCTGCAGGGGGGTCTCCCCAGAGCAGAAGGGGACAATCCCCTCCCTCAACCTTCTGGCCACACTGCACCTCAAGTCCTCCAGAGAGTGACACGTGCCCCTCAGCCCTGTCCCCTGGGGACCCCCACCTGGCTGCATGCGATCCTTGGTGTACCAGATGGCAAAACCATCCCCATTCAGGTTCTTCTTGCCTTGCCCATGGATTTTGAAATGCACCTGCATCTCCCAGTCCCTCAGGTAACAAGGCTGCAAAGCAAGGAGCAAGGGGGTGACATCAGGGTGCCCCTCAGGCCAGAGCTCCCCCTTTTCCCTTCCCAACAGACTCTGTTGTCCCACAGCAAACACAATCCCTCATCCCTAGGGATAACAATAAACCCCAGGAATGGATCATGATCCAACAGGACAAAAAGTGAAAGAGCCCGTTTTGGTCTCATCCCATTCTGGGAAAAAAATTAGTAACTCTGGAAATAAGAGGGAAAAGACTCCAGGGAGCAGCTCCTAATTGTTGATGAGCCAATTATTCCTTGAGCTTCCCAAAAATTCCATGTGGCATCAGGAAACAACACAACAAATTGGTAACAGACTCAGGAGATGGTATCAAGTTCACCTGGAAACCACAAGATTTTGGGGGGGTGAAAAGAGAACCCAGAACAACTTTCTCTCAGGGTTTTTATCATGGGAGGGAGAAATTGGTTCTGGTCTGGGAAAGGTTTTTTTCCCAAACCACCCCTGAGTGGGATGGATCCCAGAGCACAAAACCTCCCTGGTTTCAAGGCCAAATTGAAATTCCAAGGGAATGGTGAAGGTGTTGGAGGAATTCTTGCTGCCTGCTGGGCTTGGGAGGGGCAAGGAGACTCCTGCCCGGGAGGCAGCAACTCCACTCCTGCCCTGCTCAGCTCCACCAGCCCCCCCCCAACACCCCCCCCCACACCCCA